AGGTGATGATTATTATACATTCTGAGCACAGTGGCGGTTTTGGTAATCCATTTGGAAGGATGCTGACCTTCAAGAAAGAAGGCTTGGAGGGCTTCAGTGCAGGGGTTAGGGGTGCCACTTTTTTGGTGGCTTATTCATCAATCAATCAAGTAAGTGAATGTATGTGTGTGTGTGTGTGTGTGTGTGTGTGTGTGTGTGTTTACTAGTTGTGTTTACTAGTTGTGTTTTTGCGGGGGTTGAGCTTTGCTCTTTCGGCCCGCCTCTCAACTGTCAATCAACTGTTTACTAACTACTTTTTTTTTTTTCCCCACACACCACACACACACACACACCCCAGGAAGCAGCCCGTGACAGCTGACTAACTCCCAGGTACCTATTTACTGCTAGGTAACAGGGGCACTTAGGGTGAAAGAAACTTTGCCCATTTGTTTCTGCCTCGTGCGGGAATCGAACCCGCGCCACAGAATTACGAATCCTGCGCGCTATCCACCAGGCTACGAGGCCCCCTCGTAGTGTGTATGTGTGTATGTATGTGTGTGTGTGTGTGTGTGTGTATGTGTGTGTGTGTGTGTGTGTGTGTGTGTGTGTGTATGTGTGTGTTTACTAGTTGTGTTTTTTACGGGGGTTGAGCTTTGCTCTTTCGGCCCGCCTCTAAACTGTCAATCAACTTGTTTACTAACTACTTTTTTTTTTTTTTTTTTTTTTTTTTCCACACCACACACACACACCCCAGGAAGCAGCCCGTGACAGCTGACTAACTCCCAGGTACCTATTTACTGCTAGGTAACAGGGGCATTTAGGGTGAAAGAAACTTTGCCCATTTGTTTCTGCCTCGTGCGGGAATCGAACCCGCGCCACAGAATTACGAATCCTGCGCGCAATCCACCAGGCTACGAGGCCCCTTTTCCAAGAGGCCCCTTGTGTGTGTGTGTGTGTGTGTGTGTGTGTGTGTGTGTGTGTACTCACCTAATTGTGCTTGCGGGGGTTGAGCTCTGGCTCTTTGGTCCCGCCTCTCAACCGTCAATCAACAGGTGTACAGATTCCTGAGCCTATCGGGCTCTATCATATCTACACTTCAAACTGTGTATGGAGTCAGCCTCCACCACCTCACTTCCTAATGCATTCCATTTGTCAACCACTCTGACACTAAAAAAGTTCCTTCTAATATCTCTGTGGCTCATTTGGGCACTGTGTGTGTGTGTGTGTGTGTGTGTACTCACCTATATGTACTCACCTATATGTGCTTGCAGGATCGAGCATTGACTTGGATCCCGCCTTTCGAGCATCGGTTGTTTACAGCAATGACTCCTGTCCCATTTCCCTATCATACCTGGTTTTAAAATTATGAATAGTATTTGCTTCCACAACCTGTTCCTGAAGTGCATTCCATTTCCCCACTACTCTCACGCTAAAAGAAAACTTCCTTACATCTCTGTGACTCATCTGAGTTTCAAGCTTCCATCCATGTCCTCTCGTTCTGTTACTATTCCGTGTGAACATTTCGTCTATGTCCACTCTGTCAATTCCTCTGAGTATCTTATACGTTCCTATCATGTCCCCCCTCTCCCTTCTTCTTTCTAGTGTCGTAAGGCACAGTTCCCTCAGGCGCTCTTCATACCCCATCCCTCGTAGCTCTGGGACGAGTCTCGTTGCAAACCTCTGAACCTTTTCCAGTTTCATTATATGCTTCTTCAGATGGGGACTCCATGATGAGGCGGCATACTCTAAGACTGGCCTTACGTAGGCAGTGTAAAGCGCCCTAAATGCCTCCTTACTTAGGTTTCTGAATGATGTTCTAACTTTTGCCAGTGTAGAGTACGCTGCTGTCGTTATCCTATTAATATGTGCCTCAGGAGATAGATTAGGTGTTACGTCCACCCCCAGGTCTCTTTCACGCGTCGTTACAGGTAGGCTGTTCCCCTTCATTGTGTACTGTCCCTTTGGTCTCCTATCTCCTAGTCCCATTTCCATAACTTTACATTTGCTCGTGTTGAATTCTAGTAGCCATTTCTCTGACCATCTCTGCAATCTGTTCAGGTCCTCTTGGAGGATCCTGCAATCCTCATCTGTCACAACTCTTCTCATCAACTTTGCATCATCCGCAAACATCGACATGTAGGACTCTACGCCTGTAAACATGTCGTTAACATACACAAGAAATAGAATTGGTCCCAGCACCGATCCTTGTGGTACTCCACTTGTTACTGTTCGCCAGTCCGACTTCTCGCCCCTTACCGTAACTCTTTGGCTCCTTCCTGTTAGGTAGTTCCTTATCCATTCTAGGACCTTTCCCCCCACCCCCGCCTGCCTCTCGAGCTTGAACAGCAGTCTCATGTGCGGTACTGTATCAAAGGCTTTTTGGCAGTCCAGAAATATGCAGTCTGCCCAACCATCTCTGTCCTGTCTTATCCTCGTTATTTTATCATAGAATTCCAGAAGGTTTGTTAGGCACGATTTCCCTGTCCAGAACCCATGTTGATGTTTGTTCACAAACCTAATGTTCTCCAGGTGTGCAACCAGTCGTAGCCTAATTATTCTTTCCAGTATTTTACAGGGGATGCTTGTCAGTGATACAGGTCTGTAGTTAAGTGCCTCCTCCCTATCTCCTTTCTTGAAGATCGGCACGACATTTGCCTTCTTCCAGCAACTGGGCAATTCTCCTGACATAAGTGACTCATTAAAGATCATTGCCAGAGGCACGCTGAGGGCCTGTGTGTGTGTGTGTGTGTGTGTGTGTGTGTGTGTGTGTGTGTGTGTGTGTGTGTGTGTGTGTGTGTGTAATTACCTAAGTGTAATTACCTAAGTGTAGTTACAGGATGAGAGCTACGCTCGTGGTGTCCCGTCTTCCCAGCACTCTTTGTCATATAACGCTTTGAAACTACTGACGGTCTTGGCCTCCACCACCTTCTCACTTAACTTGTTCCAACCGTCTACCACTCTATTTGCGAAGGTGAATTTTCTTATATTTCTTCGGCATCTGTGTTTAGCTAGTTTAAATCTATGACCTCTTGTTCTTGAAGTTCCAGGTCTCAGGAAGTCTTCCCTGTCGATTTTATCAAGTCCTGTTACTATTTTGTACGTAGTGATCATATCACCTCTTTTTCTTCTGTCTTCTAGTTTTGGCATATTTAATGCTTCTAACCTCTCCTCTGTGTGTGTGTGTGTGTGTGTGTGTGTGTGTGTGTGTGTGTGTGTGTGTGTGTGTGTGTGTGTGTGTGTGTGTGTGTGTGTGTGTGTTAAGGATCACATCCCAAGCATAGCTTATAATATGATCACTGGCTTTCTTGGGGGCCTAGCTGAGTTTAGCATTCATCGATACACTGAATAATTAAGTACGTCATGCTGAGGCCACCTCAGTCTCCGCTGCGGCCCACGGAGGCTAAAAATTATTAATATCCATTTACTGTGCAAGTCATGGGGGATAAATAATGTCGATCTCACTGTTATTTGAGTTACATAACCCGTGCACGATAGCCCGCTCTGAATAATACAATACCAACTTGCTTTATAATATAACACACGTCTGGTTTAAAACGGCAATAGTGTTGTTATAATGGTTCGAATCTCCTTGTAAGGCCTGATTTTGTAGTTATAGGGCTCTTTGACTTGTGCCAAACATGTGCAAATATATTAATATATATTTTATATGGATGAGAGGTAAATGTAGAATGCATGATTTATTAGTTACAAATCGTCGAAAAAGGGAAGATAGTGCTCAGGCGGTTAAGCCAGCGACGGGGAGAGTTGGGAGGAGCGAGGAGGTAATGGTGGGAGCGGCGGGGTGTTTACTCTCCCCAGGTGTATATCCTGGCCCCCAGGCCACTCTCCCTCTCCTCGTGTCCTCCGTCACTCTCCCACCACAACCCTTCCCGTGTGTGTGTGTGTCGCTGCTCACCCCACACACTACCTCTTGTCCAGCCTCGGTACTCCACACTGCTGTCTTTCGCACCACACTACGGTCACAGTTTCCACTCCTCACTCGAGGACCACCTCTGCAGCTACACCTCACTACACAGCCTCCACCCCTCACTCGAGGACGACTGCTCAAGCTACACAGCCTCCACCCCTCACTCGAGGACGACTGCTCAAGCTACACAGCCTCCACCCCTCACTCGAGGACGACTGCTCAAGCTACACAGCCTCCACCCCTCACTCGAGGACGACTGCTCAAGCTACACAGCCTCCACCCCTCACTCGAGGACGACTGCTCAAGCTACACAGCCTCCACCCCTCACTCGAGGACGACTGCTCAAGCTACATAGCCTCCACCCCTCACTCGAGGACGACTGCTCAAGCTACACAGCCTCCACCCCTCACTCGAGGACGACTGCTCAAGCTACACAGCCTCCACCCTTCACTCGAGGACGACTGTTCAAGCCACACAGCCTCCACTCTTCACTCGAGGACCACCACTACAGCCACACAGCCTCCACCCCTCACTCGAGGACCACCACTGCAGCCACACAGCCTCCACCCCTCACTCGAGGACCACCACTACAGCCACACAGCCTCCACCCCTCACTCGAGGACCACCACTGCAGCCACACAGCCTCCACCCCTCACTCGAGGACCACCACTGCAGCCACACAGCCTCCACCCCTCACTCGAGGACCACCACTACAGCCACACAGCCTCCACCCCTCACTCGAGGACCACCACTGCAGCCACACAGCCTCCACCCCTCACTCGAGGACCACCACTACAGCCACACAGCCTCCACCCCTCACTCGAGGACCACCACTACAGCCACACAGCCTCCACCCCTCACTCGAGGACCACCACTGCAGCCACACAGCCTCCACCCCTCACTCGAGGACCACCACTGCAGCCACACAGCCTCCACCCCTCACTCGAGGACCACCACTACAGCCACACAGCCTCCACCCCTCACTCGAGGACCACCACTGCAGCCACACAGCCTCCACCCCTCACTCGAGGACCACCACTGCAGCCACACAGCCTCCACCCCTCACTCGAGGACCACCACTACAGCCACACAGCCTCCACCCCTCACTCGAGGACCACCACTACAGCCACACAGCCTCCACCCCTCACTCGAGGACCACCACTACAGCCACACAGCCTCCACCCTTCACTCGAGGACTACAGCTACACCTCACTACACCGTTCAAGGTAACCTCCGCAGTCCGATCTTACTCTACACTTCCTCACCTCTCATACTCTACAAGCAACAGGGTTTATATTAATTGGTTTTGTCAGGGGACACAAAATCAATATATTTACCCTGAGGTAATGATTATATATAATTTATTTAGGCTTATATCGAGATCCGCCCAAAGTCGAACTACTAACCCTCCCCAAGATGCAACTCTATAACCGTTGCTCGACTCCTGAATACTGTACCCATTTACCGATAGGTGCACAGAGGCATTAGATGAAAAAAAACGTCCCCAACCATATTTGTCCCACCCGGGAATCAAACCTGGGATGCCCAATTATTAGTCGAGGGTGAAGCATTAATATTAGTATATTTTGGTAGCAGTCTTTCTTCTAAACAAATGTGACCGAAAGGGTGAATTATGAATATGAATATCTATATGAATATATAGGGTGACATCCATGTTTGATTTGATTTTGTTTATTATGCACCCCATACCCATCCCGTGGGTGGTATTGGTGTAAAGGTCAGACAAGTAGCTTTATGCCCGAAACGCTTTGCGTAATAGTGGCTTTAGGCATTGTATGTACTAGCTCTACCTATAAGTCAACCAATCTTTGTAAAAATTTATTGTATGTATGTACCTTACCTAAATAAACATTTTATTTTTTTTTTTAAGTAGGCCTCTTGAACAAATCCACAAGTAGGCCTTAAGTAAGCCTCTTCCTCTCTCCCCCTTCTTCCTGTCTCTTGACTGCTGGAGGCAGGTTAGTCACACCCACTTGGGTATCAAACTATGGGGACACAAAGTTTTCCCCTGGTGCTGTGTGGTTGCAAGAGAGGCCTGTCACGTATCCCCTTTCAGTTTGGCCAGAGTCAATTTCCTCCAGTTTCGAGAGAAAACTCTGCCTATGGGGTTTTAAAGTTTGCTCATTGGACAAGCGCCAGATATAACTGGTCATTGGCTAAGGGTGCCAGGACCGAGGCCTTGGTTCAAATTGATTGGGTTTAGGCCTAGGAGGGGCGGAGTTTCTAAGGCAAGAATAGCTTTAGGGATGGAGCCAGGACTCTACCTTGAAGGATACAGAGAAAAAGATAAGACAGTGAACTGGACTAGTGCTTGAGGGGGGTAGGGGTTGTTGCTCTACCAGGCTACACTGCCTGAGGAAGCAGTGATAAAAGTATTTATCTGTTAGTTCCCTGTACAATTTGTAGTCCATTACCGTGCCTCTAAAGAATAGGATGTCACTAATGTAGTGTTTAATTAGTTTGCATTATTAAATAAAGTTACTGTTAATTAATCTCCTACGTATTTTATATATTTCCCCTTAATTAATTCAGTCTTAGATCTTGAATTGCTTAGGACATCACCTGTGATCTTTATGAATAAATATATTCCCCTTGTAATTCATGTAGAAGGAATTTTATTCATCCAGTAAGTATTAAAAGATCAAAGTTCCCTAACACACTGTATTAGCCGACTGGTCTCCTCCCAAGTCAATTAGCCTAATTATTAAAGTTCCAGGAGTTGTTTGTTTTATGAGTAATCTTATCTCCCATCTGGTCTGTAAAAATTGTAAAGATAATTTTAACACCTTGGTCATTTCTTCCCCCTTCCCTCGATAACTGGTTTGAGCATGTTCTGCTGTGAGGGCAGACTCTTCCCAGTTCTTTTGGGTTATACCAATGCAGTTATTACAGCGTAAAGGGTTAAAAGTTTATAGCAACCATTACAGTAAGTGTTACCATAGTCGTATAATAACAGCAATATTGCCTATTATAAACGTTACAATGGTAGCAGCAGTGTTTGTGGCAAATGTTAGTGGTGACATCAGTATCTATACAATGGTGACTTCTCGGATAGTTACAGTGGACCCCAGACCCATCCCGTGGCAGTAGTGGACCCCATACTCATCCCGTGGGCAGTAGTGGACCCCATGCACAACCCATGGGTGGTAGTGGACCCCACTACCACCCTTGACAAATTTTAGCTTCCAAATTTCATTATTGTTCACTGTATATGTATTGCAGATTCCTGAATTCCATTAGTAGCCGTAATTTGTTTTCATTGCCATAGGGCAGTTTTGTCTTAAATCCTTAAAAAATTTAATAGAATAAATAAACTCTCACACAATACCTTCTTTGCAGGTAGTGTTTCAAACACGATTAAATAAGCAATAAGGAACTCATCTGCAACATGAAAACTACAAAGAAGAAAAGGTGTTGCAATATTTCACCTTTCAAAAGACAGAATCCATGGCATCAGCAAATGAATTGTTAAATAATTCTTACGGTGAACATGAGCATGAAAATGAGACGCTTATTAGTAGGTTTGGTGATGGTGGGGGCTTTAACAACGGTGACAGTACTATTCTATTCACTGTTTCTCAGTTCTATAATGCCCATGCCACCAGGATCAAAGATATACAAGGAAACAAAACTGAAACGACTTGGTGAGTACCAGGTCTTGATTGGATCTGCTGTTGAATCACAGTTTTATACTCTAGATGTTTATAATTGCTCATACACTAATATTACTTCCGGCAGTATTCACTGGAATAATATATACTGGCAGAGAGTAGGTAATAGCCAAATTTACTTATATAGTTCCTTTTACGATGCTAGATTTATGTACTCTAAAGCTTATTATCATTACGTTAGGGTCATAGGAATGTCTGTGGGAAAAATACAGTCAAAAGATTCCTTTTTTTGTAGCATGTGGTATAAGGAACTCCAGGATCCAATAGTTGTCAAAGCTGACACATCAGAAGTCTGGATGCAACTATGGGACCATCATCCAGACCCTAAAACCTATCATACCTACTTATTTACTTGTCCCGTTCCATTAAAGATGCGTGACAGTTTATTATACCCAGACTTTGTTTCCTTGTCTTCCCAGCCATGCACTAGTATAACTACAAAACTACCCATTAATAAGGAAGGCTTTACTGAACTGTTAAGTGGGAGAGCTAAGAAAAAATATGCGGTGTGTGTTAAAGGAATGGACTTTGAAGACGACATATCCGTGAAACTTTTAGAATGGTTAGAACTTCTTTACATTCTTGGTGTTGATAAAGTATTTATATACAAATATACCGTACATGTAAGTGTAGAAAAAGTTTTAGATTATTATGAGAGGCAAGGAAAGGTGAAGATAATTCCTCTCACCTTACCAGGAGACCAACCAAATGAACCAAAGTTACGTTCTGTGTACCTAAGAAGGGCTGTGTGGCAGAAGAGAAGGAATGAACTTGTACCATACAATGATTGCCTGTACAGAAACATATATCTGTACGATTATGTCATACCTTTAGACACAGATGAAGTAATTATACCAGTCAAGTCCTACACGTGGTCAGAAATGTTTGCAGAACTAAAGAGAGGAGACCCGAAAGCTTTGGATAAATACGCTTCATTTTCAGCTCAGAATGCATATTTCTTAGATGTGTTTAATTTCACTTATAATCTGAAGGTGCCAAAATATTTCCACATGCTGCATCGGACAATCAGAAGCGCCAATTTTAGCATCATTGGTCATTCTGTAAAAAGTTTTGTATCAACAAAAAACTCCCGGACTGTCTTTAACCATTATGCTCTCGAGACACTTTACCGCAACATGAAAACAAACAAGGTAATGAACACGTCACTCGTTCAAATGAACCATTATAAAAAACGCTGTCCAAGAGAAATATACAGTCAGTGCAAGAGCAAATTTCTCCGTTATACTACAAAGGATAATACAATAGATAAGTATATGAAAGAGCTGATGTATAAAGTGGAAACAGCAATTAAAAATATAAAGTTATTCAACATTACAGAATGATAATCTTAATTTTTGTAGTAGGTTATTGTGAAACATTTAGATAATTTTGATTCTGTATCTTTACACCAATTATGATGATAAGAGGCATTTCTGCAATAAGAGTATGTAATGTATTTCATGACTTATACTGAACCAATACAAAATTTAATAATTTCACATTGCGTTCATTGAAAAATCAGCTCTTTCTTTATTAGCTTAATTGCTGGTATTTGTCTAAAGCACTAGTTCTTAATCTCTCGGTTACAATGCAAGCCATTTTGAGTGGGTTGTCAAGGGTCTCCAGCAAGCATCTGAAACCTTCTTTTCTATTCCAACGGACTATACTGTACGAAAACGTTTGCATAAGCAACAAGATGGTTGCCAGCACATCAGCTCTCAGTGTCTTATTGACTTTAAAAGTGATTGTTTTTAAAAGGCATTTTACATAAAAGCAAATATTTGCATTTCGTGCTATCTAGTTTTTTATTTTCCTTGTACTTTCTTTAGCCTTCATAAAAGTAAGTAGCTATCAACAGAAGGCACTAAGTCGGGATGACTATTTAACAACGACTATATCTCAGGATATTCAAAAGATCTTAGATGTCACTCACGATGCCAATACAAGAGCAAACAAGACATAACATGAAAAACAACAAAAACATACGCTTCACCACGGAAGCTGGGACAAAAACGAATGGCTTATCACCAGTCTAGATGGACTGCCACTAGCTCTAGGCAGTAGAGCTAGTAGCATCGGTAAAATGTTGAGGGGGGATGACAAAAATGAATAACCAGTTTAGTGACCAAGACAAGTGCTTAGCATCAGGTCCTGGAGACATACACCAAGCGGTGAAAACTGGGAAATTAAAAGGGGCAGCTCGCTAAATTTTGCATAAAAATTCCATAATCCATCAAAAAATAGACATTGAGAAGAACAAGGCATCATTTGAAAATTCCAAATTCTTCCTCCCTCCATCTTGCTACTTGCAACTGAAAGTAGCCAATAAAGGGAAAAAAATGTGGGAACAGCGCAGTATAATGTAGTCCGTCTAATCCTTCAGACGTAGACTTGCACAAACAACAGCTGATGTGGGACAGTTATGCAAGTCCCAGCTGTGTCTGGGTACAAGTGACATGATGAACAACCCAGCTTGGTCTGGGTACAAGTGACAGGACGAACAACCCAGCAGGTTTTCATCCTATTGGGGAGTGTTGTACATGCTGCTATGGCGGTGTGTCCACTCACAGGATGAGTGGCGCTGCCCAATAAACTCGCCCCTCGGGGCAAAATTAAAAAAAAAAAAATTTAAACAACACCTGATTACATTTTAGCTAGCATTATTAAATCATTTTAAAGAACAAATGCAACAGGGAACAAATAATCAACTGGTATTTTCTCTTCTATTTATAGTTGCCAAGGCATACCACACAAAATATTTTTTTTTTTCTGTCATCGGTACAAAAATTCCATACATAAAACATTAACAATCTCTTCCCACCTGAATAATACAGATATTCATTGTTAAACAGCATTACCTTCCAGTTAATGTGCTACTGTATGTTAAACTTGATTTACCTTATTAATTATAATCTAAATGCCAATGTATATACCCAAGTTGTATAATATTGTATATATATATAAATAAAAACTTCCTCCAATAAGATAGCACAAATAGCAACCGGGACATGTATGGACACAATATAAACTTAATATAACAACACGTGTTTCCTACCGAAAAATCTACGAGAATGTGCAAAGGTCAGGAGAAAAAATAAACATATACCTAAGGGTAATATGCACTGTACTACATTATTAATAGGATAAGGTTTGTCAGGCCAATATTAAGGTGCACCAGGCCAAGGATAAGGTGTGTCAGCCAGAGGATAAGGTGCATTAGGCTGAGGATAAGGCAAGCCAGCCTAGCATAAGGTACATCGGGCCTAGGACAAGGTACATTGGGTTTTTCATCAAATGTATTTTCCTATACTATACCTTTTAGTACAAAAATTTGACTTTTATACTCCCACAACTATTCATAATTTTTTCAAATGCTTCTCGGTTACGATATAAGCTATTTTACTGGAGGAGGGACTGAAATACATAAGTATATATGGAAAGTTAGAGTTTTTAAGTACTATATAAGCTGCAAATTACTGGATAAATTTCACAATGTTAAGGTCAAAACAATAAAACCTCTGTTCATATTCATATACAGAAATGATGTCATAATGGCCAGAATACCCAATGGCCACCCTTTTCTAGCTGCTGTAAAATTCTGACCAGAGGGTGCCAATGGACACCAAATTCATGTTGAAATATATTAGTACAGTATATCTTTCTGTCAATTTTGTTTTTGTTATGGTTTAAGAGCTACCAAGTTAAGAGCACTTTCTATTTGCATTTCAAATGTACACAACTCCATGTAAACCAGAGGGGTTCTTAACCTGGCTTCCATGGGCCCCCCCCAAGATAACTAAGGGTTCCACAAGAGAGAGTGATAAATATGCTAATTCTAATCATGTGTAAATGAAATTTGTAATCATTTTTGTGTTTAATTTTCTTATTTAACCAGCATCAAGAGCAAAGACAGAAATCGTCTCCTTTCAATTGACAATGAAATCCGTGTGTTTATCTAATATACGACCTGGAATTATTTTAATGGCAAAAAGGTTGCGAAACACTGATCTAAGACAGTTTGGCTAAGTAGTGATTACAATGTGCACACTTACAATGCCAAGACACACCTCTTGGGAAAACTTTTTTGCCTTTAAAACCAGCCTACATTACATTTTTAGTGATGAAAGCACCCATAAAGAATATAAGAGCGTGACTCAGCACTCGTATATTAATACTGACATTACTAGCCCCTCTTTGTCATGTATGGCATTTATATGAATATGCGCACATGAAGTAGGCAACAATGAACACATTGATAAGCACGTCATCCAACATCTTAAAAAGTAAAAAAAATGTGCCGACATGTGAAAAAGAGAATTCTTAAACTATTACAAATGTACTTTGCAAGACATTTAACAAATGTGAATTCCAACCTGTTAACAATAACTTTCACATAAATCTTCTCTACAAATTTTACACTTCTAAATACTGAGAGCAAAAGGCTATACGAGCACATCTAAAACTAGTGCTGATGAAATTCCAAGTTAAAAGTGTCACCCATTGCTATTACATCACAAATCATGTGCATTACTTTTATGCCATCAAGTCAAAAGACTATAGATTTGTTCTTTTAAACACCACGTATTTTTTTTAATCCATACTCCATACCTTTCTGCAATAACTAAGGAACTTCAGAGCTACAAAAAAAGTAACTTTACATACCTAACATATTTAATGCCCTAACATCCAACCGTTAAAAAATAACTTAGTACTATAAATCATTAATAATTTGAAATTCATTACCATTATTATAGACTCCAAACATGACATTATATAAAGCTTTCTATGAGCGAGATTCTTACATTAGCTACCAACATTAGAAAAGTTTCATGATTTGCTGCTTGCAAAAGTACAATTCCTGTTATATAAAGGAAGACTTTTGCCTTAAAACACACCTTGTGTTTTGTTATGGCCCTAGAAAGAGGTCAATCACAAGAAGAGTTACAAGGTTATTCCTCCTCACCCTTGTATTAAGTTGTGCTGCCACATTCAGTCAATCCAATCTCACTATCCATCCAATCCTGTTCCAGTCTTCTTAATTAACTTTCCCTCCACTCAATATTTAGAATTGCAACCCCCCGTATTCCCTCCATATTGTGTTTACATGTGAACCCAAACAAAAACGACTTCTCGTACATGAAATGAAAAGACGAAAATGAAAATCCCTTCAATAAGCTAAACAAAATATTACTGTTCTGTACGTACACAAAGGTGTAGGAACATAGCAATAATATTTGATCTGGGTTCTGCACACATCTAGATAGCTATTTTGGATTAAACAAAGAATACATTGAATGGATATAAAACTGTAAATGAAGTCATCACAGAACCTTCCCCTGCAATGTACATGCAGAAATCATTAAACCACCACTTATAATTAATACATCATACAGTATTATTTGCATCTTCATAGACTCTACTTGGCCAAACTCTTACTTTCCCAAAATAGTTTTCATTAATTTATATTATTTATATATTATACTAAAATAGTATATAGTGGGTACCACCTCTATATATATATATATACTTTATATGTATTTTAAAATTAAATACTGTATCAATTTTGTATAAGACAACAAATAGATCAACAATTAAATTAATTAAATTTAAAATAGAATTAACTTGATCAGAAGTTATATACTGTAGTAATACATTACAGTACATAGAAACCATAGTCTACTTAATACTGAGTCAAATTCATATTCCCGAGGAAATATTTTAAATCTAATGCTGCTGGCAGTTTATATTACCATACAAGAAAATATTTGACACTAGATTTGCAAATGCTTTGAATTCTCATCTCTTGCAGTTGTAAAATATGGCTAAAGAGAATAATAGCTGCCAAGCTCTTGAATGAAATGTTCTGCACAGTTCATTTACTAGTTTTCAATAAAATTTTCTTATGTTAATATATAAAAATAATTTATCAAACTTTACAGCCTGACATTCATTACCTCACTGATTTTGACCCAAAAACTGACTCATCAGTGTATAACTAGTAAGTACTCATTACATAATGACTAAATATAACATTACTCAGCAGACGCGGCAGCCGCTAAATACCGACGTATAAGCTCTACAGTTCATCTTTTATAACGTCCGAATCCGTGGCCTGTGGTGCTGCACTCTTGTCATCCTTTGATTTGGCTACTTGCTTGGCCTTATCGACAGCTGCTTGAACTTCGTCAAAAATTTCCTCTATTGATACACGCGTCCCCCAAGCTTTGACAACATGACCCGTCTCGTCTACCAGATACTTGTAAAAGTTCCAATCTGGTACGACAGATGATTCCTCTGTTGAAATGATTCCAGTATAAAAAAAAAGTTCCTAAAATTTATGCATTAAGCAAATTCGATACATAACTAGGTCAGTTGCACTGTTAAGATGTGTATACAGTGTTATAATGGAACTAAATGGGAAGGCCTTTCTATAACCATGTTTTAGATCTCTGAAACAATTTGATTTAAGTTTAAAAGTAAATTACTCTCATCTGTAAACAATACTGTATATTTATCAGAGTTAAACAAGCAAAACTATACCCTCAACTGTGTGCCCAACCACTTGGACTGGACGGTAGAGCGACAGCCTCACTTTTGCATTTTGGCGTTCAATCCCCTTCTATCCAAATGGTTGGGCACCATTCCTTCCCTCTGTTCTATCCCAAAACCTTATTTCTTCCATATGCTATATTTATTTTATTTTTATTATATTTATTAATATATACAAGTTCTTACATTCTTGTATAGCCACTAGCATGCATAGCGTTTCAGGCAAGTCCTTAATCCTAATAATCCTAATAATAAAAAAGATGAACATTTATTTTATTTACTTTATATTTTATATATTAATATATACAAGAGTTCTTACATTCTCGTACAGCCACTAGCACGCATAGCGTTTCGGGCAAGTCCTTAATCCTAATATTCCCCAGAATACGACCCGCCAAATCGTTTAACAACCAGGTACCCATTTTACTGTTGGATAAACAGAGGCTACAGTTAAGGATCGACGCCCAGTAAATCCTCCCCGGCCAGGATACGAACCCAGGACAAAGCGCTTGCGAAGCGCCAGGTGAGTGTCTTACCACTACACCATGGGGACTGTATAAGGACAGTCATAATGGTTTAGTGCTTTCTCTTGATTACCCCTTACCTTCAACTGTCGAAAAATGTTAAAGAACAAAAATTACAATAATAAAAACATAGAACCTCTTGTGTTGACCAAACCACACATTAGAAAGTGAAGGGACGACGACATTTCGGTCCGTCCTGGACCATTCACAATCAACTTGAGAATGGTCCAGGACGGACCGAAACGTCGTCGTCCCTTCACTTTCTAGTGTGTGGTTTGGTCAACATATTTCAGCCACGTTATTGTGACTCCTCGTCTGCATCTAGAACCTCTTGATAAGCACTGCTCAGTCTTATTTATAACCTGCGTAGCTAAGTGTTTAGAGAAATTAACGTAAGCACTTATTTCACTAATACACAGTGATATTATGATCCACCATTACACTTCAACTTAATAATAGTTTATGGTGAGAAATAGCTAACAATCTGACCTTCCAACAATAAAACATGGAAGAAGAAACCTATAGGGTTGTAACCTTTGAAATGGATAGGCTTCAGCAGCAGGAGGCATGCGAGACTAGCCATCGTTGTCTCCTTATTGGCCAGTTCATCGAAGTCAACACTGACATGACTAGACAGTGTAGACATCCAGGAAAACTGCTTATATTTACCAGAAATAAGATAGTTGATACTGACTTTCATTAACCAAGAGATTGAGTGAATTAAAAGACTCAATAGCCAGAAAGAGTCGACAACAATAATCAATGAATGGATAAATAAAGCCAACTTAGAGTAGAACTGCATATACAGTACACTAGCTATGAATTCAGTTATCTCATTTGTTTTTCCCACCAATTAATTCATTTGCCAAGTTAGAGTTCACATAGGTACACCCATGCCCTGTAGTCACACACATTCCTTGACCCATTTCTTTGACTACCCTCCCTCAACTTCACTACATAACTAAACACCATAATACTGTGTTACCCTAAAATGAGGCACTTAAAACGTCTAGTCTAGTGCTGCTGGTGGGTACTCTCCTCCTCCTCCTTTTCTGCTCCATGTGTTGCTTCCAAGAGTGTCCAAAAAATTTTGCTCACAACATTCATCATCACAATGGAGAACTTGTTACCAAAATGATCCCAGCAATTGCTGCAGGAGTGTCCAGTGGATTCTTTCTGTTCTTCTGTTCTACAGCAAGTATTCACTCACTTGGTGGATTGAGATACCCTTTAACCATCTCCCCTCCCCAAATTCACAAGAACATTCGAAAAGTAGGACAAAATTTAGCAACAGCCTGACATGTAATTAGTTTCCTGGGTGGACCATAACTGTGGCTCAGGAGGCAACTGAGGGCACCCTGCTCACAAATAAAATGAAACGAGTATACAGCCGCTAGTGCTGTACGTAATAAGCCTGAATGAAATCAAGTTAGATCTAGGTATTCCAAATTCTTGTCAAACCCACACTATTTCAAGAAACAGAAGAGCAATTACTGATACTCAAAAGGGCAGAAAGTACTTGGATGACAATGATGATTTGTTTAAAACCGAGAACTATATGTACAGGCAGTATAAAACATTTATCGGGCAACGTGACACTAACTGCCAAAATTAACTAAGAAAAATATTACTTGTGGCAGGTAACTAAAGGTAATGAATCTCCCAACAATAAGCACTCCAATTGTTAACTCTCTGAACAGGAACTAGAACACACTCTTCAAATTATGTTAGTGAATGCCTTGTTATCAGTGATTTTAGAACAAATGGCATGACATATAAAAAATTTAAAGCTTTAAAGTATTTCACTCAAATACTGAAAGATATGCTCATACTCCACCCAGGGCCATCTTAACAATGCTATAGACCTTGGCCAAGCCAATACACTGGAGTCCCTAGCTGGATGATGAGCCCTGTTCGTCTGCTAAGTACAGTACAGGATTATCGCCAGATTGTCATACACAAATTATTTATATAATATAATCTGAAAAGGGATTCAACTCCCAGACCTCTCCAGTAGGAGGCAGAGTATCCACTCAGCCAAAAGATCTCTTATGAACAATATGGCAGCATAGGGGGCCCTAGAATTGTGGGGCCCCTAGAATTGTGGGGCCCCTAGAATTGTGGGGCCCCTAGAATTGTGGGGCCCCTAGAATTGTGGGGCCCCTGAGCAACTGTCCATGCATTAAGATGACACTGACTCCAAACAAAGTTTGCTACTGAAGATTAGTGAACTAGAATCATATTCCTTGTTTTTCTTTGATTCCATGTATGACAAACTATCCTGTATGATGGGGGATATTAGATGAACTTATAGCTAGCTCTTGATTTATACTCCGTAATCTCGTATAGAATACGGTAGCAGCACACTGCTGTGTACCTCAGCTTCATAAAAAATTTAGATACTGTAATTGTATACTGTATGTGGATGAAAATAATCATCATCCAACATCAATAAGTGATGTTTATCCTTATAATGAACCTTTTGTTATTTTTGTTTAAACATCTACGCCTTAGCTCCTCCAAATTATCTAATACAGAATTGGACTTAAAAAGTTTTAACACATACCAACAAGCATCTTGAAGGCTGAATCTGCATGCTCTCCAATCACACTAATTTTGTTGAAAATTGGGAACTCCACATCAAACTCAGAGGCGATAAATTCGATAATCTCGGGCATGTCTTGTGGTTCTTGGTCCCCAAACTGATTACATGGGAATGCCAGGACAGAAAAGTATCCTCCAAAGCCTGAAAATATATGTACAAAAATATTGGTCCTCGAGAAAATTATATCATGTAACAAATACAAACGTTTTAAATAATTTTTACTGAAGAAGGTTACCTTACCTTACCTTGAGGTACTTAAGAAGAGCAAATATGCCGATTATAAATAGAAGTAAAAAATGTACTTCCTTATGAATACAATCATTAACATTAACAAACCACATAGTAAAATAAGAGTAAAACCACTTCTACTCACTCAGAATATCGTGTAGTTTCTTCAGTTCTCGGTAAGTCCTTTCTGTGTAGCCACATCGACTGGCCACATTAACTACTAGGGTTACCTGCAAGAGTTAGTTTGTATTAGTGGCACCTATATGATCAGCATTATAAATATTACACATGTAGAAAAATAAGTGGTGAGAAAAGTATCAAAATAAGTTCGAGGAATAAGAGAAATAAGCATCGTGAAACATTTATAACAAGCAGTGCAAGACAAAAGGGTATGACATGATGTTCGAGTTTCCTTCAAACACTACCATTCAAGTACTGTAGAAGTAAAATATATATGGGTCAGACATACATACACCCATTCATAAAGCTATAAAGTAAAATTTATCGCAGACAGGTATAGAACTTTATTAGATTAAAGAGATTTAGGTAAACCATCCATAAAAATAGATACTTCCCCTCCCCTGAGATACCCCAGTAGTATGCTTGTCCACAAAGCCTGTGGATTGTTAAAGGTCCTGAGGCATTTATAACTTTGCTGAGTAAGCAGTTTCATGAGTTTATAACCATATGGGTGAAAATGAACCTCCTGTTTCATCCTACAATGTGGCTTATTGAGCTTGAAACTGTTGCCCCTAATATGTACTGTATTATAAATTACCTTTAATCTATCCATGATTTTTATTCTTCTGTATGAAATATTTCTTAATTCATTCCCTGCTTCAAACATTTGTGTGGGTGTACTTATCTATCAGTGACTATGGGAAAAGTTAAGTCAAGATCAGCATCGTCTGGTTATTAACCACGATGACACCTGTTGCATTATAATTCAACTATTCTGACTTTCAAAATCCTTGTCAAATCTCCCCTTGAAGTTGTGGATGGAGGTGACTTTCACAATTTCTCCTTTCAGTGCGCTCCACTTGTTGACCCACAATACTGGGTATGGGCATTTCCCTACATTTCTTCAACTCATTTCTGTTTTTTGGGTCCTTGCTTCCTTCTTGAGAGAAGTAACTGCCGAGTGAGGAGCAACTACTGTGATGTACCACTGTGTGATGTACAAATGTGCGATGCCCAACTACTGTGTGATGTACAACTGTGTAATGCCCAACTACTGTGTGATGTACAACTGTGTAATGCCCAACTACTGTGTGATGTACAACTGTGTAATGCCCAACTACTGTGTGATGTACAACTGTGCGATGCCCAACTACTGTGTGATGTACAACTGTGCGATGCCCATCTACTGTGTGATGTACAACCACTGTGTACTCACCTAGTTGTGCTTGCGGGGGTTGAGCTCTGGCTCTTTGGTCCCGCCTCTCAACTGTCAATCAACTACTGTGTGTGATGTCCAATTACTGCATGAGGAGGAACGTACCTTGCCACGGTACTGCTCAAGGGAGACATTATTCCCGGCATGATCCTTCACAGTGTAGCTGTAGAAGTCCTCGCCCCGGCCACACTGCACCCCGAGCACCAACACTAACACTGTAACTGCATGCAACATTGCTAGCGGCTGTGTGTGTATGTGTAGATACAGTTACAGTTGATGGTTAGGTACAGTTTAGTTGAAGGGTTTGCCCTTCTGATGACTGTAGGAGGACCAGGAGCCTTGTGTAGGGGCGGGTGGCGGCGTGGGTGTAGCTGAGCTCCTTCAACACAAGGTGTTTACACCATCGTCCCGTCTCCCAAACCCTGCCTCAGCCTCCACCTCGGCTTCATTCATTACATAAACAAACACCTCTTGTGTAGTCATTTCATCCTCGTAACTAATAATGGAGCTGCTAAATTTTATTTTTTTAATATTTAAATGCTCTATAGATAACTAAATAAGGATGAAGTTTAGGGTAAAATTTATGTTATAGAGGAGGGGATCGGAACGCGAGAGGGGGGCGTTGACTTGACTACCAGATGCAGCTGTTCTTCACTGCCACGTATTTCTATCACGAACGTCTAGACACACTGAACGCTCCCAATTTTTTTATATACTATTTTCTTGGAAACTACTTTAATGCATAAATAATTCTTACTAATAACTCGTTCGAGTCACACAAATATCTCTTAAGTTTGCCCTCTAAAACAAATGTGGTTGACCACTGTACAGGGCATAAGGATCCCAGTATAGTGCTGGGAATAGCGTACTTAATAATAATTAATCGTACATAATAATAAAATATTAAATAATACTACCAGGGCCTACTCCCCCAACCAGGCCCGAGCAGGAATTTCTCTGCAAAAAAAAAAAGTACATACAGCGGGGTCGTTCTCGACTCTCAATTGGCAATTCTGGGTTCGAATCCCGGGCGGCACAGAAATGGTTGGGAACATTTTTTTTCTAGTCACCTAATGCCTCCTGTTCACCCAGTAGTAAATAATTACCCGGGAGTTAACTTAATTGTGGGGTTGCATCCTAGGGAGGGTCAGTAGTTCGACCCTAAGCGGGGAACGGACCTGAATATAGACCTTACATGTATATATATACACAGGCTGCCTGTCCACCGACACGATGAATTATTATAAAGCACGAGTATAAAGTTAGTTTAGTTCATTTATTACGCACCCCCATATCCATCTTATGGGCGGTAGTGGAAAGGATTAGAGGCACATAGTGGGCTCATCAATCCACAAAGCTGCTATTAGAACAATATCTAACTCTGGCCCCAGACATCACTCGGTACCCTTACTCAAATCTCTAAATATGTTAGATATTAAATCACTGCACATCCTCACATGTGTGCTCTATATATTTAAAACTCTGAACTCTGAACTCATTAAGGTCAATTCACAGTCTCCGTGGTGTAGTGGTAAGACACTCGCCTGGCGTTCCGCGAGCGCTATGTCATGGGTTCGTATCCTGGCCGGGGAGGATTTACTGGGCGCAAATCCTTAACTGTAGCCTCTGTTTAACGCAACAGTAAAATGTGTACTTGGTTGTAACAACGATTCTTCGCGGCGGGGATCGTATTCCAGGGACCTGCCCGAAACGCTACGCGTACTAGTGGCTGTACAAGAATGTAACAACTCTTGTATATATCTCAAAAAAAAAAAAAAAAAAAAAAAAAAAAAAAAAAATCGTGACCTTAAAAGGACTTGAGAATGGTCCAGGACAGACCGAAACGTCGTCGTCCCTTCACCTTCTAGTGTGTGGTCTGGATAACATGACCTTAAAAGTTTCTTAAAAGGTTGTAACAGAACCCAGGGGCACCACACCAGAAACAAATACCTATTTGATATCCCAAGAGTACGACTTAATCAAACTAGAACTGCTCGGCAAATCAAAGGACCCAGAATGTGGCATGACCTTTCCAACTGCATTGTATGTACTAGCTCTATCTATAAATTCATCAATATTTGTATAACACCCTGTTTGTATGTACTTTACCTGAATAAACATTTGAATTTGAATTATGTCAAAGACTGTACCTCTCTCAACCAGTTTAAGATAAAAACTAAAAAACTACCTAATAAACTCCATGTAACCTACCTTACCCCTAAATGTCAACCCATGTCTTACTATTGTAATCAATGCTGTTTGTTGACCAACTTGTATAATTGTTATTCTCTGCCTTGTTTCCCCCTTATTTTATTTTTTATTTTTTTTTTAACACAATTTATACTTTAAGCTCAATTACAATTAAGTTTTAGTCTAAGTGTTTTTCCCCCCTCACCTTGCCCAAAATGCTATGTGTACTAGTGGCTTTAGGTATTGTATGTACTATCTCTATCTTTAAATCCAACATTATGTATATAACTCTGAGGTTGATTTTTTAATGTTTACCTGAATAAAAAATCTAAATCTAAATCTAAATTTAGCTAAGCAAGTCACAATTTTGATGAGCTAGTTACACAGCCCGTCCTCCAAACAAAGACCTAAAAGTGATTCCATCCACCCGCCAAACCCCCCATTTATGAATGAAAAACGGTTTACACTCAACTCGCAGCTGATTTCGTTTGAACACTTCCGGAACAAGTACTTCACTGACAAATTTTGTTCGAACCACAAAGAACCACAACACTATAAATGCATCACCCATGTACTAGAAATACAACTAATCGCCAACAAAACCTAAACACCTAACCTATGCCTATATGTGCACAATATGCTAATATATTATATTATTCATTTATATTTGAGAGAATTCCCGTTTTGAGTGAACGGCATGTAAAAATTTCTGAATGTGTCTGTGGGGTCGACCGCTGGATGTAATGGACTCGAGTCGAGGACGGGTTGAGTTACAAAATTCAATGCACATCGTCACATCAACAATGGGCTCGAGACCATCCACAAGTATAGTTTCTAATTTAAGCAAATGACATGTGGAGAGCTAGTGTCACAATTGTTTTGAATTGATATGTTTGTCCTGCACTCCACTCCACTCAAAAATGCTGTTTTTCCTCTTAGATACTTAACCTACAATTTCATGTAATTTATTAACCCTTTATATACATTTCATTTATAATAAACTTGCACCCTTGTATATATGTATAAAAGGATCAACACTGACTAGAAGAGAATAGGTAATTAAAAAGTATTAAAATGTTACATTAGTGTAAGTCTACACTTTATGTTTATTTACAAACTGCAATAATTATAAATTGGCAACAATGACTAGTCTAAATGTATGTGGGCTAAACAACATATAATCTATTAAAATCTTAACACTTCAGTACAGTATTTATATTGTGTTTAATACAAAGTGATTTCAAACACTATATTCGTCTAATTTATGCACTGCCTTTGTAAATTTAATAATGTTAAACACTGAACCATTTCAGGTATAAAAACACTGAACTTGTATATTTGATACTCATAAAACGGTTCCGTTATTTTTTACCAATACAGTATACAACTATAAATGCTTTCTACCTGTTTAGTCAAAGTTCTTTGGGAGTCAAAAATTTATGGGAATGTAATCATAAGAAGATTAAATCCTATTACAGCATCAGAAATGGCACCTCCTTGGCCGAAGGAAGTTTGACATTTCAAAGGCATGAACATCACAAAGTAAGCAGCTCACACACACAATCCAAATTTTAATTACTCAATGAAAATTGAGAGCTTTACAGCTCTTTATTCTTAGAACAATACCCTGTACACCACTTTACAAAATACAGTCAACTACTGTATCTCTGATTGACTTTCACAGTACAGAATACAGAATACTCTACCCAGCTTGACAGTCTCAGTATGGTGCATTATGGGTGTACTGATACCAATATTTTATATTTTTACTGATTTGGATACTCAAATTCTATAGAATGGACTGGTACTCCTATAACAATACTTAATCGATTTTTAGACATTAAAAGTTATCGGAACTTAGAGTAATATTCATAACATAACTTTCTGTTGAGTCCACTAAATGAAACTGTTTTAATTGGGCTCCCCAGCAGAGGTGACTGATTAGTAACACTCAAATAAAACTCCAGTGTTTAATTGTTTAACGTAATGAAATGCCTCCTCTTTCTGGTTGGCCACTCAATCGCTCTCTGAAGTTACAACTTGGTAATGGCCCAACCTTTGTGAACATACAATAGCCACACACAACACGACTAATATCTAGCCTCCTTAAAGATTCAATGAGGAGCTTGAGGATCAGAGCACACCAAGAAAATACCACCAGAAAGGAAATAGCAGCTCCAAAACAAGCAACTGCTGGGAAAAATTTGTAACTGATGATAACAAGGCAAACACGCATATGACTAAATCACTGCTTAAATGCACTTGCCTGCCACCAGTTGGCAGCACATGCAGCCCAGGGTCTGGACCAGCCAGCCAGCCAGCTTTCAAAAGCCAGGTGCTGTGACCAGAGGACACATTGCTCTGTGAAATCCTTGATTAATTTTCAGTTAAGTGCTGTTGGCCACCTCTGGAATATTTTAGTTATATTCAAGGCCATTTTCTGATATTGTTCCGTGTTTTGTTTCACAAGTGTGTTGTGCGCCGCCAACCTTGCATGTGCCGTTTTGACAGCTCATTCCATATCTTCTGGCCAGGGTTATCTTTCCTGGTAGCTAGCTTGCAGTGCTCCTGCCCCTTCAGGATTATCTTCCCTGAGGCATTCAGGTTGAGTCCTATATGATACTCATCTAATTGTGCTTCCTTGGATCAAGCTTCAGCTCCTCGGTTTTCCTCTTAACCTTCAACCAACAAATGTACAGTACAGGTTCCCGTGTCTAACAAGCTCTATTGTATCTACATTTGAAGCTAATGTAGAGTCTGCCTCCACCACTTCATTTTACATTATTTAAAATTGTTCCCATGACAATGAAAACTTATAGTGTGTGTTTTTCTAATTTGTGTACTTTAGTTTCCATTTATGTACCCTTGTTCATGTACCATCCATTCAAAATAATGTCCTTGTCTGACCTTTCAATTTCTCTGGGATTTGTATATTTTGTAATTACATTTCCCCCAACTTTTCTGTATTCCAGTTATGAGATGTTTAATTCCTTCAGTCTTTCCTCACAGTTCATCCCTCTCGAAAGGGAAAGCTGACAGTTCACTGATGTTCACCAACCAGTAACTGGGGATCTGGTTGTAAGCCAATTTGCAGATTGTGTTCCAGAGAAAACTGGTAAGATAACCTCTGGGATGGAGAGTTCCAAGTCTGCTGACAGAAGACAAAAGTCAGAAGTTATCTGCTCCTGTACCCACCTGTGTAGTATCAAAATGTATGTAGTATCTGCCCGAAACGCTTTGTGTAATAGTAGCTTTAGGCATTGTATGTACTAGCTCTATCTATAAATCTATCAAATTTTGTAAAACCTCTTGTATGTATGTACTTTACCTGAATAAACATTTATTTTATTATTATTTATTTAAAATACTGCCTGAAATTGTATTGATAGTGTACTGCAAAAATAGGCCAATGCAGTGTACCATCAATACTGATACATCAGTACACCTCAACATTACACCACAATACTATACCTGTGCTTGACATTCCCAGTACAGTTTCCCACTATACTGTCTGTCATGTATCGTACCATTGCTTAACATTTGTAGTACAATACACTGTTATATTGTTTGACATTCCCAGTACAGCACACACCTATACAGTAATGAAATCTTGCTCTTGATATTCTGTCATTCAACACTGTACTGTACAGTATCAGTGAAATCCAGCATGTTGGTATGTTGGTCTGTTGGTCTGAAAGTGGTACTCATTCAATAACAGATTATTTATTCAATATACAAGCTGCACACATTATGCCCCCCCCCCCCAACACATAAGACACACACATTAGTTTTAGCAGCTTATCATGAATCATTTCTTCAATCACTATCTTCAACACCAAAACGATAACAACAGAATCTCATCCTTAGTTCTATGTTTAAATGTTTCGCCAATCTTGACTTGACAAAATTTCCTAAGGATGTTTAGATACATTGTGAAAATTCTATGTAACATATACAGTATCTAATTTATTAAATAACAGCCATTTATTTGGTGACTAGATGCAAAACTTGCAATATGTAACAATTATTTAGAGATAAAAGAGTGTTATTGATTGGACAGTGAACCATATACAGGATATCAGAAGACAAAAATAATGCAACAACATTATTCCAACACAAACTTTCTTTTTGTCATGCAATGTCAATCCTTTTGCTACTTGTCAACATAATTTTCAACATAGAAAAATTACATGTCATTGTGTAATTTTTATGTAACAATGGAAACCTGGCTCATTATTGCCAATAGAAACTAAAACATTACTTATTGGCCAATACACAAACTACAATCCTAGAAACTAGATTGTTTCCTTCAAGGAGTGCCGGACCAACCGGGCTGTGGTGGGTATGTGGGCCTGCGGGCCTCTCCAAGCAACAGCCTGGTGGACCACACACTCACAAGTCAAGTCTGGCCCCGGGCCGGGCTTGGGGAGTAGAAGAACATCAACCAGGTATCAACCAGGTATCAATCCCTTATATCATTCCCTAAGCCCCAACATTGCCTACTGAAGATGCTGACAAGTGTATTGCACAAAATATATAATTACATATTTACGAGTTACAAATCAAGCGTATCTAATGTGAAAGAGTATCTAATTACCATGTAGAAATATGAGTGAAACTTAATAGGTATTTTGTACCTCCTGCCAACCACAGTTGCCTTTGGTCTGAAAAAATGGCATTAACTTGAGTGGCAGGAACAATCACTAACACCGACGACAACTTATTTGGTCTTGGGCCGTACACTTTTCTCTTCACTCTCCACAAACCATTCCAGGCCATCATATGGCAAAGGGGAGGAGAGTGTAGGGAACACCCATGTCAAGTACCACCGCTCTCCTAAAGTCACCTGTAACACAAAATACAAACATCAAAACATGTTTGGAATGTGAATGTATCAATACAACATAGTTTCTACATCATGGACTCAGGCTAAATACATCTGTCATTTAAAAATACTGTACTAAATTATGTGATATTAGAACTAAAATATATCAGTAGGCAAATTACAGCCACAAAGCCATTCTTGTAGGAGAGAAAGTTTGTAGGAGCCAAGAGGAGGATTCGAACCTGCAGCCTGGGTACCCCCCAAGCACACGCCTTAGACCACTACACCACGACATGGTAAAAACAATGCAACCTGGGATTCAACCGAATCTAGGACCCCTAGAGGATTCAGTTGAATCCTCTAGCAGCTTAAGGTGTGTAACAGTCTAAGGCATGTGCTTGGGCATACCCAGTGCACAGGTTCAAATCCTCCTCCTGGCCCTTATTGATTTTCTTACTTATAAGGCATAACTCAAGTCATCAAAATACCCATCTTACCTTAATGTTCTGCTCTCTGCCATAATCATATTTCTGTCCTTTCTGATCGTTAATTTCACGAGTGGTTGTGTTTGTCACCAGCAGTCCCGTATAGTAGTACATAAGGACGGTCATGAAGAGAAAGCCAATGATATTTATGGAAAAGAGGAAGGCAAACAATGTACCCATCGATGGTTCCATCACGAGCCAGATGCCAGGTAACATGAGACGGACCATCGCCCACAAGTTGAATCCACCTGCAAAATGGCCAGTGGTTAAAGTAACCAGATTATCTTCCAGATCAAAGCAGGACATCATTTTTATAATGAAAATACAGTGAAGGATTTGCTCATTTATGGAGTACAGTATCTCAGCAAAAAGATTCATACTGTTTATCATTTACTGTAACGTTGCCTGAAACGCTATACGTACTAGTGGCTTTAGGTATTGTATGTACTATCTCTATCTTTAAATCCAACATTATGTATGCAACTCAATGTATGTACCTTTACCTGAATAAAAAATCTAAATCTAAAATCTAACAAGTACTGTATTGCTAAAACAATATTATGAACTGAACACTAATATATTACATTTCCTAATAAGTGGATCAATAGCTAAGTCCTTTACATCAATAAACAAATTCCAGTAATTTAACAGTATATCATCCACAATAAGAATACGATTATGTACAAAAAATATTGAAATGCAATACAGTACTATATATGAAATTAAAGGCATAAGACAATATTGTGTAATGCCTCCCTGTCTCTTCAAAAGAAAAAATAAATAAATTCAAGTGTTAAATGTAATGAAGCAACCTCTTTCTGGTGGCTCCTCACACCAGGCATTTGAGTCATTAAAAGCCTAATGGAGATGGCTTTTAAAGAATCTCAAGGACCTAGTGCAATTCGATATGTATCCAGCTATCCAAGGCTGCTAGCAACAGAGAGCCAGGGATGGAGTCCTTCCAGATAAATTATACATTCATCTCTTAAATAATCTACAATTACTGTACATAAATTTATTAATCTTTTTATTTACTACATGTCAAATAAAATGATCATATTAGGTATCCTTCAACTCACCTACATATGGCCAGATGAAAAAGGCATTCAAACAAGAGCAGTACAGTGTTGATACCCACATAAGGAAGAGGAATATATAAAAATATCTGTGGTTTCGGAGCCCCACACAACAACCAGCAAAGACACAGTGATGCTCCTTCTTCAAGACACAAACGTTACAGGTGATGCAGTGGCGGGAGCGGGGTGGTGCCGTGCTTTCGCATGTAGCGCACACGTGCCACCCGGGAGGCACCTGCAAAATGTTTATTAGAGAACTAAGTCTGATAGAAATGATCCCGATATGAAAAATAACAGTTAAATGAAGATAACTCTTTCACTTATTGCGAGAGAGGAAATCTGACTAATTGCCAAATTAATTTAATTCTCAATGATTAGTGTTAACAAATATTATACAGCAATAGCAATGCTTGAAATTGATCAAATAGTTTCAGCAAGAGACCCCCCTAAGTTACAGAAGATTGATTTACAAACCTGTGACGGCAGTAGTAAACCTTGTGTCGATGTGTCAACAGCAATAATTGCCATAAAATTACCAATAATGTTAATGACGAAATACGTTCCAAGAATAGTATGGAGAAAATTGAGAACTCTGTTATACACGGTGGGAGCCACAACATAGATCTGGAGAAAGAAAATTTATTCAGTTGTTTTCATAATTATGGTACACAAATTTTCATTATTAATTTACTTACATCTTATTTATATATAAAAACAAAATCAAGTATAATATCTGTATATTTTGCATTGCTGACTTTCCTATTTACATTACTCTTCATATTCTGTACATATTCTTTATATTGTATCTATTTTTGGACAGAGAAATTACATCTTTTACATATATTAGGTAATGTCACTGGTTCTTGGCCACCAAACAAAAAACTTGAGCACCTACATTACTGAATAAAATTAAACTCTAAAAATGTAAGAAACTTTCCAAATATCCATATACTGTACTGTATATCTACAGTACAGATATACAGTATATGTACTGCAACATCTTGATATACGAAAGATATCGAAAACAAAACTGGAATAAAATTTAGAACCTTGATTTCCCCAACTAAGTACATCTTATTTTTTTTTAAATCTGTATCTGGCCATTTATGAAAATAAAGTTATTGCCATTTAATAGACAGAAAATTGCTTTAAATATTAGTTTACTGGAAATTCCTAGTTACAAAATGAAAAGACGACACTGATCTATATGATGACACCAAAGACTTTTCTATAACACTGAAGTAGGCCCAAGATATTCACAAATTCTAAAGCACAATTTCACAGAAATGCAGTTTATTTTTTTAACTCGGATATGGTTATCTGGGAACCATATTCCTACTCGCGACTACATCTATACAGTAATAGATGTACAATCTCATCTGATGTGAGTAATCTCATCTGACGTGATAATCCTCCTCCTCCCTTAGGAAGGAGGAGGATGAGGAAACCGGCTTACACTTTAGGCCAGAAGAGTGACTTAAGCTATCCTGCCAAGCCCTTCCTGCACGCCAACTTCCACCCTCAAAAGAATGTAGTTCCCTCCACTCAAGTCATTATATTCTCCAATGTTTACATAATTTAACTAAAGGAAGACCCTACTGTCATTACAAACGTCTAAATTATAACCAAGAACATCAAATAAACATGAATCTTGTCTCACTGCTTCACCACAAGCTCTCATCTAACACTTTTAGGAACAGGTAAAAAAACAAACTGCATAAATGCAAACTTGTGCATTTGGATATGTACAAATTAGAAACCAACTGTAGGTCTCAAACATGAGAGACCAAAACACACATTCAGACAGTATCACTTACAATTCCCCCAATGCATTAAAGTTTTAAGGTCTTGTATCAATTTAGTTTTAAACATTGATAAGCTATATAATTTTGTAAAGACCCCAGTGTCAATGTGACTAGTCTAAATTCTGACAATGCTTATACGAACGTATAGGTATAAAATATCTACAGCACTTAAAATTCATACCTCAAACCAATATACAGCTGGAATGGCAAATGACATGAACATCATGGCACTAAAGTCCGTAAAAGTACGAGGCACTAGCCTTTTCCGTATTCTTATGTTATACACCATGGTATCCTGAGGAAAAAGATTAAATAGCATCAGGTTAATGCAACATTAAAGTATCTTGTATCACAGTAAGCAATGTCTGAATGAGCATAAAGGAAAATAAATATACAACATTAATACAATATTGAATACTTCATCTCCACATGCGTCTACAGTAAATGTTTTCTACATGCAGTATATAAATTATTAAATGAATAGGCCTGCACGCAGTAAAGTTTGTTCTCACCTTCATCCCCACAATGTGTCAAAAAGAAGTAAGATGATGAAAAATGCTGTGTGTGTGTGTGTGTGTGTGTGTGTATGTATGTATATATGTGTGTGTGTGTGTGTGTGTGTGTGTATTATTTATATATATATATATATATATATATATATATATATATATATATATATATATATATATATATATATATATATATATATATATATATATATATATATATATATATATATATATATATATATATGTCGTACCTAGTAGCCAGAACGCACTTCTCAGCCTACTATGCAAGGCCCGATTTGCCTAATAAGCCAAGTTTTCATGAATTAATTGTTTTTCGACTACCTAACCTACCTAACCTAACCTAACCTAACTTTTTCGGCTACCTAACCAAACCTAACCTATAAAGATAGGTTAGGTTAGGTTAGGTAGGGTTGGTTAGGTTCGGTCATATATCTACGTTAATTTTAACTTCAATAAAAAAAAATTGACCTCATACATAATGAAATGGGTTGCTTTATCATTTCATAAGAAAAAAATTAGAGAAAATATATTAATTCAGTAAAACTTGGCTTATTAGGCAAATCGGGCCGCGCATAGTAGGCTGAGAAGTGAGTTCTGGCTACTAGGTACGACATATATATATATATATATATATATATATATATATATATGTCGTACCTAGTAGCCAGAACTCACTTCTCAGCCTACTATGCGCGGCCCGATTTGCCTAATAAGCCAAGTTTTACTGAATTAATATATTTTCTCTAATTTTTTTCTTATTAAATGATAAAGCTACCCATTTCATTATGTATGAGGTCAATTTTTTTTTATTGGAGTTAAAATTAATGTAGATATATGACCGAACCTAACCAACCCTACCTAACCTAACCTAACCTATCTTTATAGGTTAGGTTAGGTAGCCGAAAACGTTAGGTTAGGTTAGGTTAGGTAGGTTAGGTTGTCGAAAAAACATTAATTCATGAAAACTAGGCTTATTAGGCAAATTGGGCCATGCATAGTAGGCTGAGAAGTGAGTTCTGGCTACTAGGTACGACATATATATATATATATATATATATATATATATATATATATATATATATATATATATATATATATATATATATATATATATATATATGTATGTATGTATGTATGTATGTATGTATGTATGTATGTTCTAATATATAATAATTTTGTTGCATTTGTTTAGCTTCAGACACATGCATGTTATAAATGTGTGTTAAAAAGTCCAGCACAATTAAGGACAAAGATTCACTTACAATTAATGTGTCAAGTTTGGAGACACACAAATTTGAGTGCAAGTAGTATGGCAAATATTTTGGTCTAAAGGGTAGAGGCCCAGTTATTGATCTGAGGCAAAGTGAAACTTCTATCATTATACTGTCAAGCATATATTCAAAGAATATTTGAATAGACACATCTATGGATCATCAAATAAGATCAGCAGACTCCTTGATATAAGTCTACTTCGTATGAATACACTCTGGCTTCCTGTCCCCCCCCCCCCCGACACAATGAATTATCAAATATTATTTACTTCAATGCTAGACCAAACTTCTTGTGTGACTGAGAAGATAGTTAAGAACTCATACAACATAACCTCTCACTCTAAATAACAAAGCAATTCTACCATATACAGGTAGGTTTATACTGCATTATAAACTGTTAAATAATATAGTGTTCTAATATATATAACTAAACATTTAACATTATAATCTGGCAGCATACAACAAAGCCAGAAAAACTGTATAATCTTTTGGGGAATTGGTTTCATTTCCAGACAAAAAATATATTTCCCAGTTGTCATGCTGAAAGCAGCTATCTGCACATGATAAGATTTGGGTGTGTGAGTGGACAGGTTAGATAAGGATGTATCTAATAAGAGTTCTCTAGTTTCTGTACGTTATAAATTAAAGTTAAATACTGTAATAGTTAGGTTCATTAACATTAGGTCATTGTATTAAGAAAAATCAATGTTAAAGTAATTTAAGTATGGTCTAGTTAGCTTGTATAAAATTGTTACAGTGGGCCAAATTTTGTCCTCTGATGTCCACTACTAGAGATAGCTCTCCTAATCTTAAGAGATTTTAGGGTCATTGTTGATACACCGAGCTCGTGTGACTACCTCAACACACAGGGACTTTGCTGAAGCTTTCGATGAAAGCTATAGAAAAGCTATAGGAAAAAGCTATAGATGAAAGCTATATTTGATTTTTCCCACATGAAAGACTGGCACATGGAAATTACAGGCACATGAAACAAATGGTAGAATATTGGAATAGATAAAGCAATGATTAAAACAATGAGAGGAAAGGGTTATGCCGAATGGAAATGAATCTGACTGGAGAAATGTGATGAATGGGGTGCCACAGGGCTCCATTTTGGGGCCAATCCTTTTTTCATCATATACACCAATGACATAGATGAGAATACTGCAAACCACACCATCAAATTTGTAGACAACACTTAAGATTTATGGTAAAGTAGGAAGTGAAAATGATATTGAGGCCCTGCAAGGAGACCTATCTACATGAACTCCACAAATGGTCTGAAGACTTGACAAATGCTTTGCAATATCGACAAATGAAGACCTTGCATGTGAGGAACTGTACAAGGGTCTAATCCCTTACCACTATACCTTTCTCACCATACAGATATGATAATGCACAAAGAAATGACATTAAAAACACATTTTCTCATTACTATCAATGATAAAATCAGTAGGAACCATGGGGATTCGAACCTGCACATTTCAGATATCATAGTGCTAGAATAAACTATATATGGGGAGGAGGGAGGATTTTACCTTGAACAAGCCGCTGGCTTGCAGTCCTCGTCGAGGCCACTCGAGTCAGTGGTCCACAGGTAAATTCAGGTAAAGCCCCCAGCCGTCACTCACAAGCCAGGGGTCTCCTCACCTCATGTACTGGGTGACAGCGGCTGGCGGCCCTCAGGGAGTGGTCACGGGTCGATGTTACGGGTTTGAGTGGCCTTAACACACCTCTATCAATATTTAATCCACTCCGACCAGCCTCCTGCCTCCCTCCTCCTGCTGCTGCTGCTCTGCTGACAGCCTCCAGCAGGGTTGCCAGCTCCGAATTACTGAAAGTAGCGAGCTGGCGCTCTGAAAGTAGCGAATTGGTAATCAAGTCAACATACTTCAGCCACGTTATTGTGACTCATCGCCTGCAAAAAGTTCCAAGCAGCACGAGCTATTGTGAGCCCGTAGTGGACTAGGCACAGGAGCTGGGCTGTAACTGCTTATTTGTGATTGATTGATGAAGATTAAGCCACCCAAGAGGTGGCACGGGCATGAATAGCCCATAAGCCCAATAGCCCTACCAATTTGTTGTCAACTACCATTTTAAGCTGTCATTGCAATCAATCTTAGCTACCTATGTGCTTTAATATACTGTACCTACAATTTTCTCTCATCTTTTTTTTTTTTCATTTCATGTAATCTGTTATCATTTTTTTGTCTATAAATTTTGCAAGTATTTACCTCCTTAAAATTTTCTTAGATTAAGGACCTGCCCGAAACGCTGCGCGTGCTAGTGGCTTTACAAGACTGTAATTACCATATTTGTATCCTCACATTCCTTATGTACATTCTTGTATATGCATAAATAAATAAATAAATAAATAAGTGGAAGATTTTTTTTGGGGAGTGAATGTGATCTTTGGTCTCGCATTTAAATCGTCAGTCTGTGGCTGCTATCGCGAGATGCTTGTTTGTGTTGCATCTGACCATAAATAATCATCATTGAGTTCCTTAATATTAATAGCCCAAATTAGCACATCTTGCTTTTAAATTAGCCCCAAAAGTAGCAAGTAGCGAAATTAAATATTTGGGAGCGCGGGGCTCTCAAAAGTAGCCCAATTCGCTACTTGTAGCCCAACCAGCAGACGCCTGTCGCTGCGGTCTACTAGCCTAATGTATTTATCATATTCGCAAATCTTAATAATACCATCAACATAACACTTAATTGTCACATTATACCTGATCATTTTTATCTGTATTTCGAATTCAGTTTCATATTCATTGTAATGGGTTTTGTAATTCACAGATTTACCTCGTATTTATTTTGAGCTCGGATGCTCTAGCTTCTTGAGAATGAACGCCAGAAGAACGCTCACCTGAATTTACCTGAGGGCCACTAACTCTTTAGTGGCCTCGACGAGGACAGGAAGCCGGCGGGTTGTCAAATGTCTCCTCTTTGCTATGATGACCACTTCCACATTTTTTTTTAATTTAGCAGAGTTTTGGCATTTACGGCTTCAGCGGGTAGGCTGTTCCATGCGTAGGCTCCCTCCCTGTGTCCAATCCACTTACCAGCCTATGATACTAGGAAGAACTAAACTCATGTGTAGTGAAGGTACCCAGTGGGTAAGCGGGAAGTGGGGATAGTTGGAGGAGAAAAGGTACAAACCCCACTGGTGGGAGTCTGGGACAAACCGGAAAAACGCCCAAGGAACCAACAGCTGACTTTCAAATCAAATCAAATCGAATAAAATCAACTTCATAACCAAATCTGCTGGAACCCTGGGAGTGTGATCTCAATTTTCCGCTCTGACTCCTATCCCTGCCGTCTCTCCAGTCCCCACGTGGGAAGAGGACCTTAACTGCGGTCCATAAAATTACCCAAATCGGCCCAAAACTACACAAATCGTCCTAGCATTACGTAAGTAATGAAGAAATATGGTATATTTACTTACTATAATGTTGGTGCTACACGTAGAACATGATCAAACCTATTTTTACTCTGAAATAATCTAATTTCATAACGAAATGAGACATAAATATGTGAGAGGTGACGCCATAGGAAGTCGACGGTCCAAGCGACAATTGTGTGGAGCGACTTATCCAAGATATATGGTCGCCTGGAGAGTGTTTGCTGCCATATCAGCCTCCTGTACACAGTGATCCAGTCGTCGCATTTCATGGCTCAAATTGTCGCAAATTTAATTGGTGATATTAAGAAGTAGAATGTGTATTTATATAATATCTTTCATAAACAGCCATTAAATCTTTAATATTTATTAAACAAAACGTGTCTGGAAGTTAAATCAACTCCGCAGGACAATAAATTTGTTATATAGATACTAGCGTTATTCGTTGGTATGCGTTCGCAATTTAAACTGCTCATGTCCTTTTCGTTCATTGAACACCGAACCCTACACAACCATGCACAACTCAAAGTCCAACAAGTCACACCCCCGGAGTAATGCAATCGGAACCTGACAAGTTGTGTAACCGGAGCCTGACCAGTTGTGTAACACCGAAGCTTGACCAGTTGTGTAACCGGAGCCCGACCAGTTGTCTAACTGCAAGCCTAACATGAACGAACCAAACAAACAACCTCTGGATCACAACCATGCACGAACGGAAGCCCGACCATGCACAACCCAAAACTCAGGTGACACCCCCGGAGCCCGACCAGTTACTTAACCGGAGCCCGACCAGTTACTTAACCGGAGCCCGACCAGTTATTTAACCGGAGCCCGACCAGTTATTAACCGGAGCCCGACCAGTTGTGTAACCGGAGCTTGACCAGTTGTGTAACCAGACCCCGACCAGTTGTGTAACCATAAGCCTAGCACGTATACATCTCATCCAACCCCCACCATTAAGCTAAACAGTCCCAGAGCACAACCAAACTCCATTCCTAGCTCGACCAAACAAAAATCTGCTTAGAGCTACCTAAAACCCTCCACTTGCCCTAGAAACCAACTATGGAGCCATATCAAACAATTGAACTATATACAAAAAAAGAAACTCAAATTTCTAGGAAACATATAAACAGAGCCCTAGCAAACAAACCTGAAGCACTAGTACACAAACAACCACTGAAGCACAACCATGTACGAACCGGAGCACAACCATGTACGAACCGGAGCACAACCATGTGCAACCCAAAGCCCAACAAGTCACACCCCTGGAGTTATGTAATCGGAACCCGACAAGTTATGAAACCGGAGCCCGACCAGTTGTCTAACCACAAGCCTAGCATGAACGAACCAAACAAACAACCTCTGGATCACAACCATGCACGAACGGAAGCCCGACCATGCACAACCCATAGCCCAAGTGACACCCCCGGAGCCCGACCAGTTATTTAACCGGAGCCCGACCAGTTATTTAACCGGAGCCCGACCAGTTATTAACCGGAGCCCGACCAGTTGTGTAACCGGAGCTTGACCAGTTGTGTAACCAGACCCCGACCAGTTGTGTAACCGGAGCTTGACCAGTTGTGTAACCAGACCCCGACCAGTTGTGTAACTTGCTTAGCTTCAGTCCCTGAGCCCATAATGTGCCTCTGTAACCCTTTCTACTACCACCCATAAGATGGGTATGGGGTGCATAATAAATGAACTAAACTAAACTATTGCAGTATTTGTACATTGAACTGTCGCTTGTCAGTAAACTTAGTTGTTAACTATTAACTTCATAAAATAATATTACCTTATACGCGAGAATAATTCTGAATACACAGCGAGAAAATTGATGAATGAGGCTTTGGGTCAGGCGGCGGCGTAGGCGAGCCTGGCCTGAGGACAGGCAACTGTAAATGCTTCACCCTCCACATACTTCAAGTGAAAATAATTGCCAACAGAACCTAAATACCGAACCTACTATACGCCTAATTAATTATAGAATATAAAATTAATTTATACACGATAAAAACTTTTTAATACACAGTACATGAAAGTCGATAATAAATGCGTCTTGGGATGTGGGGGAGACGACCGCCGCGTTAACGAGCCTAGCCAGACGACGGGGTAGTTTAACACTGGGGAAGTGTATTCTACATAATATCCTACCCATATAATGTTGGCAAATCATGATCCTCAAAAATCTTCCAAAATATCCGAGAGACGACAGACTATTTAGCATTAGTGGAATACAAACATTTGAATACTACACAACTCGGATGAAAAAAAAATAGGGAAACAATGACCCTCGGAGACATTACAAAACTCAATGCTATAATAGCGAACAAATGTATAATGCATTAAGCATTGTAGGTGGAGGTAGACTATATATTCATGCATACCTCCCAACTGCTCAGATATATTTACAAAAAAAAAAAAAAAAAAAAAAATCAGCCTTACCTACACGGGACCGACGATGCTCACGCCACGGCTGCTTCCTGAAGACTGACCGGGTCGGCGTCGATGACCCCGTAGCGACCAACCGACCCAGAGACTCCCTGCCTAAAATTATTTGAACAACGTATTGAAATTCCTAGCGTATAGCGCCAGGAATGTGTAAATTAATATTTATATGCCTTATAGGCCTTTCTAAAGTAATTTATAGATCTGAATATCATATATTGTCTAACAAACGAATTATTTAAGTTAAGATTTTAATTATGCCAAATACAATTAAGTCTCATCGCACACAAGAAGATTCGTCGACGGATTTTTTTTTTATTTATATATAAAAAAAAGTTTTTAAATTCTTGTAAAGCCACTATAGCATGCATAGCGTTTCGGGTAGGTCCTTAATCCTAATTTTTATCCCGGAGTATGACCCGCCAAATCGTTTAACCTATTCTCTGTCGGGTGAACAGTTAAGGATTGTCGTCCGGTCAGTCCTTCCCGGCCAGGATCAAAGGGCTTGTAACGGTTCTATTGTTACGTAAAGTATGGTGACAATAAACACAGACACTAAGATACTATATATATATTTGGTCGAATATACAGAAGTACACAGGTGATACTTTGGTGTGAGTTGAGCGCACTGAGCGTCGGTACAGTATCTCGCAAGTGTCTGCTCTAGACCACACTTGAAAGTAGACTAGTTAATGTTTGCTATTCTGCTGCTTATATGCTCGGGCAACACCTCACCGTGTTGCCCGGGCAACGCCTCACCTCATTCATCTCCAAAGGTTGACAGGAATATTAACAATGCATTTGGAGCGAGTATATTATTGGGATAATCTACTCGCTACAAGCGTGTAGGGTTCGGTGTTCTATGAACGAAAAGGACATGAGTAGTTTAAATTGCGAACGCATACCAACGAATAACGCTAGTATCTATATAACAAATTTATTGTCATGTGGAATTGATTTAACTTCCAGACACTTTTTTTTTAATAAATA